CACCCTTTCCTCATTTTGACGGACCACCGTAACCTGGAGTACATCCGGGCAGCGAGGAGGCTAAACACTCGGCAGGCTAGATGAAGTATGTTTTTGACCCGGTTTACGTTTAAGATCACGTACATCCCTGGGTCCCAGAACGGTAAGGCAGATGCGCTGTCTCGGCGGTATGACACGGAGGAGAGGTCCGTGGAGCCCACTCCCATACTGCCGGAGTCGTGTCTGGTGGCACCGGTAGTGTGGGAGGTCGATGCTGAGCTCGAGCGGGCGTTACGCACCGACCCAGTGCCCGGAGGGTCGGAAGTACGTTCCGCTCGAGGTTCGGGATCGATTGATCTATTGGGCTCACACGTCACCCTCCTCTGGACATCCGGGTATCGGCCGGACAGTGCACTGTCTTAGTACCAAGTACTGGTGGCCCACGTTGGCAAGGGATGTGAGGGTTTATGTTTCCTCCTGCTCGGTGTGCGCCCAGTGTAAGGCGCCTAGACATCTGCCTAGGGGTAAGTTACTACCCCTGCCCGTGCCACAACGACCATGGTCCCACCTCTCGGTGGATTTCCTTACTGACCTTCCTCCGTCACAGGGGAATACCACTATACTGGTCGTTGTGGACCGGTTTTCTAAGGCCTGTCGTTTGCTCCCCATGCCGGGCCTTCCTACCGCCCTGTAAACTGCCGAAGCCTTATTCACCCATGTGTTCCGGCACTACGGGGTACCCGAGGATATTGTGTCTGATCGAGGTCCCCAATTTACCTCCAGAGTCTGGAGGGCCTTTATGGAGCGGTTGGGGGTCTCGGTGAGCCTCACCTCGGGTTACCACCCGGAGAGTAATGGGCAGGTGGAACGTGTAAACCAGGATGTGGGTAAGTTTCTAAGAACATACTGCCAGGACCGGCCGGAGGAGTGGGCAAGGTACGTTCCCTGGGCCGAAATGGCCCAGAATTCCCTACGCCATTCCTCCACTAACCTAACCCCTTTCCAATGTGTGTTAGGTTACCAGCCGGTTCTGGCACCCTGGCAGCAGAGCCAGATCGAGGCTCCTGCGGTGGAAGAGTGGGCGAGGCGCTCGGAGGAGACATGGAACGCTGCACACGTCCACCTGCAGCGGGCCCTCCGACGTCATAAGGCGAGAGCCGATCTCCACCGCAGTGAGGGACCGGTGTACGCACCTGGTGATCGAGTCTGGCTCTCTACCAGAAACCTGCCCCTCCGCCTGCCCTGTCGGAAACTGGGTCGGCGGTTTGTAGGGCCATTTAAAGTCCTGGGAAGGTTGAACGAGGTGTGTTATAAATTACAGCTACCTGTTGAATATAAAAGTATTAACCCCTCGTTCCATGTGTCCCTTCTCAGGCCGGTGGTAGCTGGCCCACTCCAGGAAAGTGAGATCAGGGAGACTCCTCCGCCCCCATTGGACATCGAGGGGGCACCGGCGTACTCCGTGAGGTCCATCTTGGATTCGAGACGTCGGATGGGGGGTCTCCAGTATCTAGTGGAGTGGGAGGGGTACGGTCCGGAGGAGCGGTGCTGGGTGCCGAGGAGAGACATTTTGGACCCGTCTCTCCTGACGGAATTCCATCGTGGGCACCCGACGCACCCTGCTCCGCGTCCTCCGGGTCGTCCCCGAGGCCGGAGTCGGCGCACGTCTGGAGCCGCGCGTCAAGGGGGGGGTACTGTCACGGTTTCGGCCGAGGCTGCCTCTCTTCCTTGTTCGGGCAGGCTTCGGCGTTCGTTGTCTCCGGAATACTAGCTGCCACCGTTGTATGTTTCATGTTCGTTTGCTTTTGTCTGATTGTTTTCACACCTGTTATCATTTAGTGTCATTAGTGTCCTATTTAGTTCTCGTTGTGTTTTTCAGGTGTTGTGTGTTATTGTTTCGTGTACTGTCGTATTTGCTGGTCGTTTGACTATTTCGCTCGGTTGAGCTTACTACTCCACTGCGCTGGAGCGTATTTACGCACCTGTTTTCGTGCGCCTTTCTTTTGGTCGCCTACGTGCGTCGTTCCGCCTTCGGGCGAGTTTTCCTGTTTGCCTTATTGGTATTTTGACTAAAGTCTTTTGGATTATTGACTTCGGTGTCCTTGCGCTTGATTCCACCCATACACCGACCTACAGCCAACCTTGACAATAGTGGCCATGAGTATCCTAACAATAGAATTACCTTTAGCCCCATGGTCATAAAACATTTATTACATATTATAAACATTGACGCCCCTCCAGTAGTTTTCTTCATCACTATTTTGTCATCAGACATGTTTGTAGGTTGTTGTTTACTTCATATAATAGATGCCATTTAGCAGACGCGTTTATCCAAAGCGACTTACAGTCATGCATGCATGCTGTCCCGAGAATCGAACCCACTACCCTGGTGTTACAAGCTCTATGCTCTACCAACTTGTCACGCCCTGACTTACGGAACTCTTGTATGTTGAGTCAGGATGTGGAGATCTATGTTATTATTTATATGTTTACATTCTAGGTATTGTGTTTCTATGTTTGGCCGTTTGTGATTCCCATTCAGAGGCAGCTGTCGCTCGTTGTCTCTGATTGGGGATCATACTTACGTAGCCTGTTTGCAATCATTAGTTGTGGGATCTTGTTCCGTGTATAGGCTTGTATTGTGTTTAGCCTGAGGACTTCACGTTACGTTGTTTTGTTCGTGTGTTTAGTTTATATAATAAACATGTATGCATTTCACGCTGCGCCTTGGTCTGACCCGTCCTTCAACGTCCGTGACAGAAGATCCCACCAAACACGGACCAAGCAGCGTGCCCAGGAGCAAACACCCTGGACACAGGTGGGGAAGATTTGGTCTTGGGAGGAGATATTTGTGGGGAAAGGACCCTGGGCGAAGGAGGAAGCCCAGGCAGGAGAGGAGCAACGGCAACACAGAAGGCGCCGGCCGAGGAGGAAGCCCGAGAGGCAGCCCCAAGAAAAACATTTGGGAGGGCTAAAGGGGTGGTCGGGGAGTGAGAGAGAAGAGCCCCGACCACTGCACCCGGTGGGTTTCCAGGTTGAGTCCCTACGACCATGGGAACAAGAGTGGGAACAGTTTTATATTGAGGAGTCGGAGGAAGACGACGACGACGATGAGTTTCTGTTCCCTAACTCGTGGGGGCTCCCAGAGGAGTCCTCACTGGAGGAGGATTGCCGAGAGAGAGAGAAGGATCGGATCTGCAGTGTAAGAGAGGAGGCCACCACATTACGGGGGCTCATAGCGAGAATAGAGCGGGAGAGCTCCATTCAAGAGGAGGCACTGCAGGAGGCTCGTAGGGAGAAGGAGGAAGTAGATGCACGGAGAGAGGAGCTGGTCAGGCAACATAAGAAGCGTGGGTTAATTGAGGAACCCATGTATGCAGAGATATGCACTGTATCGCCAGTGCGCATGCACAGCCCGCGCATGCACAGCCCAGTGCGTTCTGTGCCAGCACCCCGCACGTGTCGTGCGAAAGTAGGCATCCAGCCAGGACGGGTTGTGCCGGCTCAACGCTCCTGGTCTCCAGTGCGCCTCCACGGTCCAGTATATCCTGCTGCTCGCACCAGACCAGTGGTGTGTGTTCCCAGTCCGGCCCGTTCCTGTTCCTCGCACCAGGCCAGTGGTGCGTGTTCCCAGTCCGGTACGGCCAGTGCCTGCTCCCCGCACCAAGCCAGTGGTGCGTGTCGCCAGTCCGGCCCGGCCCGTTCCTGCTCCTCGCACCAGACCAGTGGTGCGTGTTCCCAGTCCGGCCCGGCCTGTTCCTGTTCCTCGCACCAAGCCAGTGGTGTGTGTCCCCATTCCGGCCCGGCCTGTTCCTGCTCCTCGCACCAGACCAGTGGTGCGTGTTCCCAGTCCAGCCCGGCCCGTTCCTGCTCCTCGCACCAGACCTGTGGTGCGTGTCTCCAGTCCGGCCCGGCCCGTTTCTGCTCCTCGCACCAGACCAGTGGTGCAAGTCCAGCTCCGGTCAGCGGATCCACTCCGGAACCAGAGCAGTCCGCTCCACGGGGGTCTAGTCCAGCTCCGGTCAGCAGCTCCACTCCGGGGCCAGAGCAGTCCGCTCCACCGGTGCCCAGTCCAGCTCCGGTCAGCGGCTCCAGTCCAGATCCAGACGTCAGCCCCTCTCCAGGTTCGGGGTCTCCCACACCAGGGCCCAGACAGGGCTTGGTGCATCGCGGGAGGATTGCCGATCCAGGCCCAGACGTCAGCCCCTCTCCAGGTTCGGGGTCTCCCACACCAGGGTCCAGACAGGGCTTGGTGCATCGTGGGAGGAAGGAGAGGGGAAGCAGCGCGCCGAGGTCCAGACCATACCAGGGGTGCAACGGGGAGGCTGAGAGAATGAGGTCGTCACGCCCGGAGCCGAATCCGCCTCCGAGGCGGAATACCCACCCGGACCCTACCCTGTTATGTCAGGTTTGTGCGGTCGGAGTCCGCACCTTTGGGGGGGGGGGTACTGTCACGCCCTGACTTATGGAACTCTTGTATGTTGAGTCAGGGTGTGGAGATCTATGTTATTATTTCTATGTTTACATTCTAGGTATTGTGTTTCTATGTTTGGCCGGGTGTGATTCCCAATCAGAGGCAGCTGTCGCTCGTTGTCTCTGATTGGGGATCATACTTAAGTAGCCTGTTTGCAATCATTAGTTGTGGGATCTTGTTCCGTATATAGGCTTGTATTGTGTTTAGCCTGAGGACTTCACGTTACGTTGTTTTGTTGGTGTGTTTAGTTTATATAATAAACATGTATGCATTTCACGCTGCGCCTTGGTCTGACCCATCCTTCAACGTCCGTGACACAACTGAGCTACAAAGGACCACTAATCTGTAACGCTAGGCTACTGTCTTCACTTCTCCCTCAAATTTTTTTTGCATCTGTGATTGTGAATAAGGGCCTAATGTGCAGTTTTTATGTAGGGATTCCAGCAGCAGCTCAACTTGTTTCTGCCTTGACATTTGGCAGGTTTGTGTCAGAATGGCTAACTACTAGTCTGTTCAGGTTTTCTGTGGGGTTTTGTCCACCATACTCATGGCCGTGGGGGCACTGGATGGTGGGATGGAATGTACAGACAAGGATAGTCTACTGACAGAGATATCCAGAGATCTGGACCCACCGTCGGAGTGTGTGGTGGGCTGCACTGCACTAACTTACATAGCAATGCTGGAGACCCAGAATACACAGACAGTACGCTTCAAAGACTCCTCAGCAGGTGAGAACACCATATACAACATTATATTGTATGTAATCACTGTATAATATGATATCCATATGACAGTTGAGTGGAATAGCTGATAAAACATGTGATTTCTTGCAAACTACTTTTTTGCACTGATAAAAACAGATCTGGACAAGAGAAATAGACTAGACCTTGTGCGAACTATGCTATATGTACTTGCTCTGCTGATTTGAGTGGTCATCAGCTATTCAAAAACGTAGTCACTAGTCAGTGAGGGTGTATGTCATTAGAATCCAATTGAATGTATTTGAATAGAGAGTGGTCCTGTGTAGCTCAGTTGGTAGATGGCATATTATACTGTATCACCTACTAAGACAAGCCCCTCTCTTCCACAGGTGAGCATGGAGAATACTGCTGGTCTATGAATACTCAGTGTAGCCCTGAATAGCCTGCATCGTGCTGCCTGTGGATGTGTCACTGGTTAATGGGGAATTTGTTGACTGAAAGCTACTCTCCCCCACCATAAGGACATACTAACTCCTCACAGCGGTCCCACACTTCTCTCCAACCTCTGTGGCCTCCACTTCAACGTCACAGGTCACTTCACTTTGACAAAGAGATGGCCAACGTTCTGCGTGCAGGTGGTCCCACAGCAGAGCACCTTGGGAAACGGTGTTCATATTAGATGCCCACCTTTCCTGGTGATTATGTGGCAGATGCAGAATCACTCACCTACAAAGCAAGGAGGGGGGTGAAATGGACTTGTTAAAACCAAAATGTGGATGGCATCAAGGTTAGTTTGTCAGTATTTTAGGTAACCCTTCTCCTAAATGCATCTGGACCTGATGGTCTTGCTTATTTAAAAACTATCTATATAGGTAGCAACATATTGTATATAACACTCACAGTAAAGTTATATACATTTTTGATGCTGCAAATTGTGTAAGGAAAAATGTGACTAAGTAGCTAGGTTTCCATCCAATTTGCGACAGATTTTCATGCAAATATTTTCAAATCTGCCTAAAACAATATGCGCATTTTCCCACCAGTGATGTGTTTCCATCAAACTGACTTTTTGCAGATAAAAGTCTGTGCGTGATAAGGTAGTGCACATAAAAATAACTTTTGCAGTTAAATTCCGATGTACCAAATGAAAAATACAAGTTAAATGATATGAAGGTTATTATATAAATATTTGCGCATAAAAGGCATTTCCACCGCCGTTTCTTGCATAATTAATTTTACAGACACAAAAAGATCCCACCATGTCGAACTAACAAATTGTCTGTCTGCATTTATACAATTGTACCGTCATTTCATGTTTTAATCAGCCTGGTCGTGACTTTTTTCATGTGTCAGGTAATTAATCTGTCACGTTCGTTGAGTAAAGGATCGGACCAAGGTGCAGCGTGGTATGCGTACATAGTCGTTTATTATATATAACAAAATCCAACAGAACGTGAAGTTCAAGAGGCTAACCATCAAACACGCCAAACAGAAACAAGATCCCACAACTAAGGTAGGCAAAATGGCTACCTAAGTATGATCCCCAATCAGAGACAACGATCGACAGCTGCCTCTGATTGGGAACAACACCCGGCCAGCATAGATATACAACATCTAGAATTCACACCCTGACCAATCCAACTAGAGAAAACAGGGCTCTCAAGGTCAGGGCGTGACAGTACCCCCCCCCCATTCTCCTTTGACCTCTCTCATCAACGAGCTGTTTTCGCCCACAGGGCTGCCACTTACTGGATGTTTGTTGGTAAACCCTAGACGCTGCTGTGCGTGAAAAGCCCAGGAGGGCGGCCGTTTCTGAGATACTGGATCCACCGAGGCTGGCACTGACGATCATACCACGCTCAGTCGCTTAGGTCACTCGTTTTGCCCATTCTAACGTTCTATCGAACAGTAACTGAATGCCTCGATTCCTGTCTGCCTGCTTTATATAACAAGCCATGGCCACGTGACTCACTGTCTGTAGGAGCGATCAATTTTTGTGAACGGGGTGGTGTACCTAATAAACTGTCCGGTGAGAAAGTATTTACACCCCTTGACTTTTTCCACATTTTGTTGTGTTACCAGTAGCAGTACGTCGATAAAATCATTGGGGAAGCCAAGCCAGACGAAAAACCATATTACAACCTATGTGTTGTGATAATTGGGTTGTTTGCTTTATAACTTGTTAGTTCATATGCCTTGCAACCATGACATATAAGACTAAGGCTGAGACAATAAGAAGACAGAGTGGCAGAATAAATTCAACCACACCTTTGTTTCATCACAAAACCGGAGAGCAACATCTGTCCACAAAGCATATTGCATGTAACAAATAGTTACAGTGCCTTGCAAAAGTATTCATCCCCCTTGGCGTTTTTCCTATTTTGTTGCATTACAACCTGTAATTTAAATGGATTTTTATTTGAATTTTATGTAATGGACATACACAAAGTAGTCCAAATTGGTGAAGTGAAATTTAAAAAAATAACGTGTTTCAAAAAACTATAAAAAATTAATAATGGAAAAGTGGTGCGTGCATATGTATTCACCCCCTTTGCTATGAAGTCCCTAAATAAGATCTGGTGCAACCAATTGCCTTCAGAAGTCACATAATTAGTTAGATTGCACACAGGTGGACTTTATTTAAGTGTCACATGATCTGTCACATGATCTCAGTATATATACACCTGTTCTGAAAGGCCCCAGAGTCTGAAACTCCACTAAGCAAGGGGCACCACCAAGCAAGCGGCACCATGAAGACCAAGGAGCTCTCCAAACAGGTCAGGGACAAAGTTGTGGAGAAGTACAGATAAGGGTTGTGTTATACAAAAATATCAGAAACTTTGAACATCCCACGGATTAAATCCATTATTAAAAAATTGAAAGAATATGGCACCACAACAAACCTGCCAAGAGAGGACCGCACACCAAAACCCACGGACCAGGCAAGGAGGGCATTAATCAGAGGCAACAAAGAGACCAAAGATTTTTATTTTTTATTTTTTTATTTAACCTTTATTTAACCACGTAAGCCAGTTGAGAACAAGTTCTCATTTACAACTGCGACCTGGCCAAGATAAAGCAAAGCAGTGCGATAAAAACAACAACACAGAGTTACATATGGGGTAAAACTAAACATAAAGTCAAAAATACAACAGAAAATATATATACAGTGTGTTCAAATGTAGCAAGTTATTTACATTTACATTTACATCATTTAGCAGACGCTCTTATCCAGAGCGACTTACAGTTATGGAGGTAAGGCAATAAATAGGCCATAGTGCAAAATAAATACAATTAGTATTAACACTGGAATTATAAATGTGCAAGAGATGATGTGCAAATAGAGATACTGGGGTGTAAATGAGCAAAATAAATAACAATATGGGGATGAGGTAGTTGGGTGGGCTAATTTCAGATGGCCTATATATACCCTTTGTTGGCAATGACACAGGTCAAACGTTTTCTGTAAGTCTTCACAAGGTTTTCACACACTGTTGCTGGTATTTTGGCCCATTCCTCCATGCAGATCTCCTCTAGAGCAGTGATGTTTTGGGGCTGTCGCTGGGCAACACGGACTTTCAACTCCCTCCAAAGATTTTCTATGGGGTTGAGATCTGGAGACTGGCTAGGCCACTCCAGGACCTTGAAATGCTTCTTACGAAGCCACTCCTTCGTTGCCCGGGCGGTGTGTTTGGGATCATTGTCATGATGAAAGACCCAGCCACGTTTCATCTTCAATGCCCTTGCTGATGGAAGGAGGTTTTAACTCAAAATCTCACGATACATGGCCCCATTCATTCTTTCCTTTACTTCCTGGTCCCTTTGCAGAAAAACAGCCCCAAAGTATGATGTTTCCACCCCCATGCTTCACAGTAGGTATGGTGTTCTTTGGATGCAACTCAGCATTCTTTGTCCTTCAAACACGACGAGTTGAGTTTTTACCAAAAAGTTATATTTTGGTTTCATCTGACCATATGACATTCTCCCAATCGTCTTCTGGATCATCCAAATGCACTCTAGCAAACTTCAGACGGGCCTGGACATGTACTGGCTTAAGCAGGGGGACACGTCTGGCACTGCAGGATTTGAGTCCCTGGCGGCGTAGTGTGTTACTGATGGTAGGCTTTGTTACTTTGGTCCCAGCTCTCTGCAGGTCATTCACTAGGTCCCCCCGTGTGGTTCTGGGATTTTTGCTCACCGTTCTTGTGATCATTTTGACCCCACGGGGTGAGATCTTGCGTGGAGCCCCAGATCGAGGGAGATTATCAGTGGTCTTGTATGTCTTCCATTTCCTAATAATTGCTCCCACAGTTGATTTCTTCAAACCAAGCTGCTTACCTATTGCAGATTCAGTCTTCCCAGCCTGGTGCAGGTCTACAATTTTGTTTCTGGTGTCCTTTGACAGCTCTTTGGTCTTGGCCATAGTGGAGTTTGGAGTGTGACTGTTTGAGGTTGTGGACAGGTGTCTTTTATACTGATAACAAGTTCAAACAGGTGCCATTAATAAGGGTAACGAGTGGAGGAGCCTCTTAAAGAAGAAGTTACAGGTCTGTGAGAGCTAGAAATCTTGCTTGTTTGTAGGTGACCAAATACTTATTTTCCACCATAATTTGCAAATAAATTCATTAAAAATCCTACAATATGATTTTCTGGAATTTTTTCTCTCAATTTGTCTGTCATAGTTGACGTGTACCTATGATGAAAATTACAGGCCTCTCTCATATTTTTAAGTGGGAGAACTTGCACAATTGGTGGCTGACTAAATACTTTTTTCCCCCACTGTATACCTGCTGGAGCGCATACTACGGGTGGGTGTTGCTATGGTGACCAATGAGCTAAGATAAGGCGGGGATTTGCCTAGCAGTGATTTATAGATGGCCTGGAGCCAGTGGGTTTGGCGACGAATATGTAGTGAGGACCAGCCAACAAGAGCGTACAGGTAACAGTGGTGGGCAGTATATGGGGCTTTGGTGACAAAACGGATGGCACTGTGATAGACTACATCCAATTTGCTGAATAGAGTGTTGGAGGCTATTTTGTAAATGACATCGCCGAAGTCAAGGATCGGTAGGATAGTCAGTTTTACGAGGGCATGTTTGGCAGCATGAGTGAAGGAGGCGTTGTTGCGAAATAAAAAAGCTGATTCTAGATTTAACTTTGGATTGGAGATGCTTAATGAGTCTGGAAGGAGAGTTTACAGTATAACCAGACACCTAGGTATTTGTAGTTGTCTACATACTCTACGTCAGACCCGTCGAGAGTAGTGATTCTAGTCGGGTGGCGGGTGCCAGCAGCGTTCGATTGAAGAGCATGCATTTAGTTTTACTAGTGTTTAAGAGTAGTTGGAGGCTACTGAAGGAGTGTTGTTTGGCATTGAAGCTCGTTTGGAGGTTTGTTAACACAGTGTCCAATGAAGGGCCAGATGTATACAAAATGGTGCTGTCTGCATAGAGGTGGATCTGAGAGTCACCAGCAGCAAGAGTGACATCATTGATATACACGGAGAAAAGAGCAGGCCCACGAATTGAACCCTGTGGCACCCCCATAGAGACTGCCATAGGTCCAGACAACAGGCCCTCCAATTTGACACATTGAACTCTATCTGAGAAGTAGTTGGTGAACCAGGCGTGGCAGTCATTTGAGAAACCAAGGCTATTTAGTCTGCCAATAAGAATGCGGTGGTTGACAGAGTCGAAAGCCTTGGCCAGGTCGATGAAGACGGCTGCACAGTACTGTCTATTATCGATCG